CCAGTCACTATGATCATCCTTCAGCTCCTCAGATACTGTTTGAAGGGCTCAATTTTCTTCTGTAACATCAGGCCGTTTCAAATTCGTTATTTGTACCCGTTCATTAACTTTCATTGGATTAGCAATCACAGTTGCGTTACACGCATTTATGGATTCTGGAAGACTGTCGGTGATTTGGGTAGTAAGGTTACTATTTTTTTGCTAAAAAACAGGTCTGAACTTGAGATCAGGCTTTTAAAGAGTTTCCTGCTCGCCAGCGTCCGGAGCGCGAAGAATGGAGCGAAACCCCCTTTCTTGAGCTCTTATCTCTAATGGATATTTTACAGACCACCCCTCTTCTATTAGTCTCGATTTCGCATGCTAACACTCATTTAAGGAGCATTCACGATTGCAATGACCTTGGATATCAAGCTGTCTGCGTTTGAACAGCATCACTGACGCAACCACATACAGAAAGTTTTATTAATCCGTTTGAAAGCCTCAGGAGTTAGATTCGTGCAAACTTCGTGTTATTATCATTTGTACTCATCGCATGGCATGCCACTTTTCACAAGTTATCGACGACGTGAACGTTGACAATTATTGTTTCCGCACTGTTTAGTTGTCAACCGCAGGTTCTAAAAAAAACATACGCAAAGAATACCCAGACACAAGATAAACTGATGACCAGAAAAAGTGAGCGAAAATGCAAACTGTTAAAACCAAAAGTGTAAAGAAATACAAAAAGAATAAATGTACTTGTAACGGAAAAAGAACAGTGAAAATCCCTCTGCAGCTTCTTTGTTGAACAGTATTTTCATTTATTTGTTCCTTCTCTCTTTTGTGTATCCCAACCTTTGTTTCGACCTCGTTTAACCATGTCTTTTGTTCTTCAGTCTTCCCCGTTTGAGCCTTTATTATGTGATTTTGATTAAAGACTTATTTTTGTTACCTAATTTTCTATTGTATGTTGCCGGACCATTGACAGTAAGGTTGTGTTTGACTAAGCTCAAGGTCACGGCGTGGTTCATTTTGTGACTGTTAACCCTCTGACTGTCTGCTTGGGAGAATTGCTGCAATCCCTGCAGATAGATATTTGATCCCATCTTATTGGGAATATTTGTATTGATTCTCAGGTATCAAACCCTTTAGTATTAACTGTCTCTTTCATTGTTTAGCGCGCTACTTTGCGTTAGAGAAACTTCTGACTGTATAGCACAGGCTGTACCGTTTGAGGTATTTTGTATTTTTGATGTAATTTGTTCTGTTTTCTTAATTAGAACCGTTTATATTGAGCACAGAGTTTGTGTTTTGATGTAATATAATACGAGTATCTCAAAGACGCGTTGTGAGCTATACAGAGGAACTTGGTCTGGTCTAATCGAACAAATTTTGGGTTCGTCAGTCCGTTGTTCCAACCGAATATTGGCTGTTCGGTCGTTACAGTTCTCAAACGAACAGTAATCTCAAGTGACAAATTCTGGAATGCCTGGAAAGCGCAATAAGGTCAACGAAAACTTGGCATTGGGCCACGGAGAAATGCAATCGGACGCACCTCCAGATATACGGCAAGTCAAATTAGATGCATTTTCATGTCATGGCTCTAATGTTAGTTTAGTAAGTAGACGTAGTAAAGTTAGCTCTAGCGCGAACTTTGAAAGTGGTAACATTTTTTTCACGTGGTTTAGGAATTCTTCGACTTGCTCTTTTGTAGAGTGTATTATACTGTGATTATCATCCTATCCTGTACATCGGGAACATCTCACCTCGAAACATAAGAAAAAACTTATTTTTATTCGACGGACAATTACCAGTTCGTATTGTACCTATTGCGGACTTAAGTCGTAAATAGGTCTGCAATTTATTATATACTCACAGTCTCTAATCCTAGTATTAACCAGGTTAATACTTAATAACAACTAATACTCAGATATTATATTTAATTTAACGAGCACTGTGCTCACTTATATTCATATCATGTCCAATAACTCCAGTAAAAGAGGAATTTCACCAACTTCTAAGCCAAATAAAAGGTCCAAATCTTTAACCCCTACAACTGACGACTCAGTGCTTGACAATGTCGAACCTTTAACTACTGAAAAATATGTGCATTGTACACAAATGTCCCTATCGTCACCAGATTCTCCATGTCGCAGCCCCTCTATCTTTACGTGCAGTATGCCAACGGTAAGACTGGTTGACATACAAGACACTATACCTACGTGCATTGAAAAGTCAGCACAGTCTACTAAACAGTATGTGCTACCAAGGCCCAAGTCTAAAATTTCAAAAACTAAAGAGTCCAATGGTCCACCTCATACGCACCAAAATACTGATAGATATAGTAATGACATCCGACAGCTACAAAACTCTCTATCCGAAATTAACGGCAAACTTGAGCAATTAGCACCCCTCACTCATATATGGGGACTTGATACAGACAGAAATCTTGAGCAACTCACTAAAGCTGAGTGTATTTTGGAGTTTGTGGCTGAAGAAGTGACGAAGAGAGTAATGTCCTCCTTCAATGCAGTTGTGTATAACCTCCCCGACCGCACACACCCATCTAAGTTAAGAGATATTTGCCTTAGAGCATGCGGTATGCCGAACGTTAACTGCAAAGTCATCCGCCTTAGAAAAAAGTCAGACAGATCGACTTGCCCCCTCTTGTTTATGTTTGGCTGTTGTAACGATGCTAAGCAGTTTATTGATTTGAGCAAAAACATTAGCTCACTAATTCCATACAAAAATATAAAAGTCACTCCAGACCTTACGCCCTGTCAACGTCGTGTAAGAAGACGCAAAGCGATAGAATTGAATGGGAGTGTTACAGTTAATAATCAGCCAGAGACAGTTTGCAACACAGCAAATAGTTTAAAACACACGAACATTAAGCATGACACCACTCCACATACGGCTGATCACTCTGTTGATCTAGATGAGTCTACAGATCAGAAACCTTTGGATAAGATACGGACCCCAACTGACACCAAAAACCATAACGACATTACTAATCCCAGCTGTTCATTCAGTAATGTACTAAAATGTGAGTCGTGTAACAACACATGTGCAACTAAGCCTATACACTTGAAAATTTGTCCTCCTAAAGACATTCCACAAGTAGACTTGAATGAACGTAAGTTCATCTCACAAAGACAACGAAAGAATCCTGCTCTGAAAATAAAGGGTGGGAAGACAAAACTCATGATACCGAATAGGGAAACACGTAAGATTGAACCCAACTGCTCTATAGGTATCCCAAGAACAGTGAACAGGTTCTCCCCGCTGCTATCGTATAACTTGCCTTCAACACCTCCAAGTTGCAAAAAGGGTGGTGGGCTTCAACGTAGCAAGCCTTCTTACACGCAGACTAACGAAAACTACCAGAGAACTGGCCACCCAAATCACCCCCTGAAGCCTAAAACCATAAATAAGAACGGTAATAATAGGTTTCTAACTCCACACCCTACCTACATTCCCCAGGATCGCAACTGTAATTACTCTCAAAAAGAAAACTTCTCATACCCTTTAGTGCCGACCCATCACATAACGACGGCTCCCATGTATAACAACAGTCGCAACTCCTCCCAGTTACGCGTAGCAGACCCCTCTCGCGCTAACGTAAATAGCCATAACAGGGGCTACGAGTCTAACCATCAAGACTATTTTGCAAATAACCATACACTTCACAGTAGGCCTGTGCAAGATTTTTTTGGAATAAGACCCCTAGTGACACCTCTGTTGAAGCATATAGCCCAGGTTATTTCAAACCACATGCAAACCATAAATTTGTTTCCTCCGTACAGTTTCCATCACAGAGTACTCCCACCCTTTCCTCCTGGGTAAACTCCCCAATCAACTTCACCAGCTCATTTGATACATCTCCCAATAAGTTTAACTATCAAAATACCGAGCTAATGAAGAACATCCAATCCCTCACATCAAACTCATCTTACACTCGCGAGGGTTACGACGACTTTATCCGAAATACCCTCACCCATTTTAACTTAGTAGGCCACTTGCTTAATATATGTCTTATCAACGCTCGATCGATCTGCAACAAAAAGAAGGATTTAGCCCTGTTTGTGTCCATATATCAACCATCAGTTATTATGATATCTGAAGCATGGACTAACAGTAATATTTCCGACCGAAGCATATCTCTAGATAACTATTCCCTATATAGAAGTGATAGGTTGAATGGACGAGGCGGAGGATGCCTTATTTACGCTCACTCTAGCCTGAACTCACTGCTATGTGATATGCCTGAACTAAACAAACTGAAGGATTCGGTGTGGATTGTATTAAAGCTGTCGAATTCCGTTACCCTTTTGCTCGGTTGTGTTTATCGTCAACCTAACGCAACAATAGATGAAATAGCAGTATTATCGGAGGTATTCACACTAGCATCATCCCTCTCATTCACAGGCAAGCTCATTTGTGGTGACTTCAATATGCCCGAAATTTCTTGGCTGCCAGTCAAAGCGCCGAGACGTTATGAATCATTTATTGAATGTCTAGAACTTGGACAATGGACTCAGTATGTCGATAGCCCTACCAGACATCAAAACATCTTAGACTTAGTCTTTACCAGTGGGCTCATCCCCAATACTTTGTATATTGGAAAAAAGTTCCCAGGTAGTGATCATAACATTGTCATATGCAGCCTTAATGTAAAAACCACAACCGATAGAAGTAAAACCGTAACACTTCGTAGAAACTATCGCAAGGTTGATTGGAATAACTTCCACAATTACCTAAGAAGCACTGATTGGAGAACTTTCTTTACCTCAAACAATACCGACACATTAACCAATATATTTTATCACAACATCAAAAGTATCATCAACAACATCGCACCTTTAGAATACTGTAAACCTACGTTCTCCAAAGATCTCTATATACCGGTTAGTACAAGAAGACGTCTTCAAAGACATTGTACTCGATTCCACAACTTAAATGACTTTTCCTCTTTAGTAACGATGACAGAAATACTTGTCCGAACAGAGGCAATAAGTAAACAAAAAGCAGTAGCACAGGAAAAACGTGCAGTTGAACTTAATAATAACTCCTCTGCACTCACCATACTACTCCAAAATAAACTTAAACGCTCTAAATCGAGAGGGAGTATATTCATTAAAGGCAAACAAGTATACGAAGATCCCAAACTTATCACAGAATTATTCAGTGAACATTTTTGTTTCTCACTAACTAACGAAAAACCATTTAATGATTCAGAACCAATCCCAGTAACTCCCTGTGAAATTACTAATGTAGAATTCAGTGTACAAAATATCTCCAAAGCAATCAGTACATTGAAATACTCGTACACTGATGGACCAGATGGTATTCCATCTAGCATGCTAAAACGCGGAGGTGATGATATGTGTGTTTTGCTTCTCAAACTATTCGCGATATCACTCTCTTCAGCGTGTTACCCTACTGCCTGGAAAACTACACATATCATTCCCAAAATTAAAACAGGACCTGAAGCAAACGTTGAAAATTACCGGCCTATAAACATAACTTCAGTGGTATCCAGAGTGATGGAAAAAGTAGTTAAGGCGGCTGTAGTCCAACATCTATTAACTAACAATCTCTTGTCGACCTCCCAGCATGGATTTCTTAGGTCCAGATCATGCGATACATGCCTAGTAGACTACCTGAATGATATAACTCTGAAACGAGACAGCGGACTCCTTGTATCAGTCCTATTCCTAGACTTTAAGAAAGCCTTTGATAAGGTCCCACACAAAAGGCTACTCGTCAAACTAAAGTCCTTCGGAATACACAACCCACTGTACTCATGGTTTGCTTCGTTCTTAACAGAACGTAAACAGATGGTAAAGTACAATGACTGTCTCTCGTCCCCTAGACCAATCACCAGTGGAGTCATCCAGGGAAGCGTATTAGGGCCACTTTTGTTTCTTATGTATATAAACGATATATGTAACACCATAGAATTTGGGAAACCGTACTTATATGCTGATGATCTCAAAATAGTATACAGCTATAAGCCTGAGACACTAAGCGAAAGTGTATCCCAGATCCAAAAGGACCTCAATAACTTAACTATATGGAGTGAAAAATGGCAATTACCATTTAACCTCAACAAGTGCGGGATCATGCACTTTGGAAAGCATCCCTATAAACCGCGACTTCACTTAAATGAATGTATAGTCCAAACACTCGAATCAGTACACGATTTAGGAATTAATTACACAGGAAGCCTAAACTTTGAAGAACATGCCTCCTCTATTATTTCTAAATCTAGACGGCTAATTGGTTTTATAATGAAAAACTTTTTCACAACGGAGAGTAAACTTACTCTCTACAAAATATGTGTACGACCCACCCTTGAATACTGCTCTTTTGTCTTCTCTAATATGAATATCGCAGACAAGATAAGAGTAGAAGATGTTCAAAGACGTTTCACACGTCAACTACTAGGATGTAACTCGAATCTCGATTACACAGACAGATGTAAGCATCTATCTTTAGAACCTTTATGGCACCGTAGGCTAAAACACAATTTAATATTTCTCTACAAAGCGATATATGGGCTCTCCTTTTTAACCTCCTGCCCGACTATCACCCACGACCCAGCCTATAGACTTAGAAACAACGCATATACACTACACACCGTAAAACACCAAAAGCAAATGCGTTGTAAGTTCTTTACAGTACGGTACAGTTTATTGTGGAACAGGCTGCCAATGCCTATCCGCAACTGTGATACGTTTACCAGATTCAAAAAGCTAATAACCCTATTTCTAGACTCCAAAGAGCTTCAACATTACCTTGAACTCCCGCCCACCGATGAGGCACTTTATTACGGACCGCCTAGTATCTAGAAAGAATAGAATTATAACAAGTTCGACTGTTACTAATCTGAATATAACCAAATCACAGGATATATGGATTATCCTTTCCTATTATTCATTGTTTATTAATCATGATTTCATGCTCCTAACACTAGCTTTCAGTCCCCAAATCTCTACAGGTTAAATGTACATTATTCTTCCTAAAAGTCATGCTTTTTTTTCTACTGCAAGTAGACAGATAGCTCAATCTTATGGATGCTGATCTACTAAGGCCGATCATTCAAAGCTCAAAATTTGGCCACAAAGTCTTGTGAGTTTCTCAATGTTTTATTTTTCTCACCCTAAAATCGTTTTCTTTTTTTCTACAATTTTATACCCTCTCATATCTTTTGATTTACTATTAATCCTTACTTCTTTAAACCATTAGTTATTTTCATAACAGTGTGATATACTATATGGACATCTAACCCATAAAACAGAATTTTTAAATATCTGATTTGCTTGTAACATGGACCTAGTAGAGACAGTGTATTCCAACTATGTGCTTTGATTAAAGCATTAATCATACTTACCACAAACGTAAGAGAGCCTAACATCACAAAAGGAGGGAGGGTGGCGTTACTGACCAGCAAACATGAAGGTGGGGAGATAACTTCAATCCACCCATGTCTGTAGGGCAGAACATTTTGTTTAATTATGGCTCCTTATGGTTTTGTGGGATGTCACGGACTTAAGGTATTGAAGCTGATCTATCACGCAAAATACCTCTTTAAATCGTGTTACGAACGTTGAATTGGTTTCACTTCCTACTCAGAAATCCTATTACAAGCAAACTAGACAATTCGCTAATATACGAAGCCTACTCAAGACCCTACAAAACCTGAAAAAAAAAAAATAAAAAAAAAAGAAAGGGGCTCTAATAGCTTCGATAATAAAAAGAAGATAGCCAGTTGTATATCACAATACTGTTTCTAGCACTATATTTTATTTTATAATCACACATAATCTTATACTCTCAGCTCTTTTCCGAATCGCCTCCATTTGTCAGTTGTATGTCCACTCACACCTTGCTAAAGCTTATTTTCTTTAACCTATTAAAATGCTCTTTCTTAACAAATACCTTAATAAAGGAAAATTAGACTGAGTAATCATACCTTAAACATTCCTACATCAATATTGGCTACTCTGCCTCTCGTGTTTTCTTTTACTTGCTCCCTCTTTCAGCCCCCTTGATATATGGAACAGGTTACTTCATCCTGCACCATCCTTAAAGTCTTGGATATCCCGAAGGGACATAAGGTTGCGATTTCTAGAAGCTCATACCTTCAATGGACCTATTCTTGACCATCAGTCGCACATTCGCAACGCAGCTCTCGTGAAGCGCGCCAACTATAGTACTGATTAAAACAATCTACATTCATGTCTTATAAATTTTCAACCCAGCTATGTAATTTTATACAGTGTATATTGTATCATTTGTATCAATTTGATCTTGCCTGTAAACTGGCATGCCTCATGTAACAAAATGTTATTTGAGAATATATTATTATTATTATTATTATTATAACCTTAGCAGAGTTGAAGGAAAGACAGTTATCAGAAATGAGAGACTTGAAAGATAGGCAGACGAAACAACTACTGCGCTTTCAGAGAGAGTTTGGGTCGTTAAGGCTGAACAAAAGCACGTGTAGCAAATTATCTTCTGTTTCTAACTGTGATGACAGAGAAAAAGAGCACGTTCACAGGTTCGTAAGTCCTTCTCATGACCTTAGGATAAAGTCTCTAGAAAAGTCAAAACTGTTAGATTATCCAGGAACGAAGGAGAAAGTGACCTTGGAATCTCTAAGTGTAGGTCATGAACTTCCAACAGTAGAGCGCGATGCCTACTTCGATGAAAGTTACAATATTGTTCCTTTACCTAGAGGAGTGGCTGAGGAAGACATTGCTACCCCTGTTATTGGCAATGAGTCTGGCATGTGTAAAGCTGGCTTCACCAAAAATGATGCTCCCATAGCCATATTACTCTCTATTGTTGGAAGAACTAGACATCAAGTGACTGTGGAAATGGATGGAAAGGACAGTCATGTGGGAGACGATGCTCGACCGAAACGTGTTATCCTGACACTGAAGTACCGAATTGAACATGGTATTGCGACTAAGTGGGGTGATATGGAGAAGATGTGGTACCACACATTCTACAAAGGGTTGCGAGTGGCAACAGAGAAACATCCGGGGTTGTTGAGAGAAGTTTCATTGAACCCGAAGGCAAACCATGAGATGACAAGGATCATGTTTGAGACTTTTAATACACCAGGTACGTGTGCTGCTACCCAAACGGTGTTGTCACTATGTACACTATGTACAACTGGTATAGTGTTGGACTTAGGTGACGGTGTGACCCACACAGTTCCGATTTATGAAGATTATGCGTTGCCTTATACTGTTTTGAGATTGGACTTTGCTGGTAGAGTTCTTGCCGACTTTAGGATGAAGATCCTGACTAAGACAGGTTGCAGTTCCTCTGTCTATTCGTGGAACATACTCAGGCGCAAACCACCGGACATCGTTTTACTCTATAGTAAGTCTAGAGTGGCACCTATATAACAGGCAACTGTGCCTAGACTGGAACTAACAGCGGCAGTATTGAGTGCTAGAATGGGGGAAGTTTTAAATAAGAACCTTCCTCATGTGTTTGACAAGACTCACTTCTCGATGGATTCTATGATAGCACTGTACTATATAAAAAATACAGATAGTAGGTATTCTACCTTCGTGGCTAATCGTCTGGCCGCTATTCGTCATTTAACATCTGTGGACCAGTGGGGGCACGTAGAATCCCATGAAAATCCTGCTGACTGGACATCACGAGGCATACGGAAGGAGCTAGATTTAAAGAACTGGATTGGGGGTCCTTCCTTCTTATGGAAGAAAGAGTCTGTAGGAACACTGACGCTTATGTGCGAAAACCCCCTGGAAAATGTTGAATTTAAAAGATGCCACACGACCAACGCAGTTGCGCTAAAACATAGCTCAAGTCCAATTCTGCTATATCACTCAAATTGGATAAAGCTGATTAAAGCGGTAGCATGGCTCAGAAGATACGTGATCTATGTAACCATCATGTACTCCCATCACGATGACAGGTCCCTAAGTGTGAGCTATCTGTCAGTTGATGAATTGGATGCAGCTAAACACAAGGTATTAGCATTAGTGCAAAAGAGAGTGTATGGGGAAGCAGTTAATGTGTCTCGATATAGTGGCGTAAGCGCAACTGTTATAAAAGAGCTAAAAAATCTTTCACCTACGCTAATCGATGGATTGCTTTGTGTCGGCGGACGATTAAATTACTCGGATTATCCACTCTCAATCAGACATCCGGCAATTTCACCCAGTCATCACTTCGTAACAGAACTTATTATTAGACACCATCATCACCTAGAAGGTCACACCGGGACATCACAAGTGTTAGCTACCATACCACGAAATTATTGGATTGTTAAAGGAACCAGTGCAGTTAAACGAGTGATAGGTAGATGTGTGAGGTGTATACGCGCGAAGGCCACATTAGGCCAACAGATGATGGCACCCCTCCCCAAGTGTCGAGTGCAGCAAGGCTGGTTTTGCTTCTCCTCCGTCGGGATAGACTATTTTGGGCCGTTGATAGTGCGTCGGAGAAGAAGTGAGGAAAAAAGATATGGATGCCTATTCACGTGTCTCCAAACACGTGCCGTACATTTGGAAGTAGCTTTCAATTTGAGTACTGATGCCTTTATAATGGCTTTAATACGTTTCATAGGAAGGAGAGGAACTCCTAATGAAATCTATAGCGACAATGGAACTAACTTTGTCGGGGCCACTTCCGAATTACGGGCTAATATGAGTGTGTGGAACAAGCATAGAATAAACGACTTAACAGTATCGAAGGGTATACGCTGGGATTTCAACCCCCCACTAACTAGCCATCGGGGCGGAGTTTGGGAGAGGTTAATACGGTCTGTTCGGGGGATCTTACTATTTATTTCCAACGGGCAAATATTACACGATGATAGTTTGGCAACTTATTTTGTGGAGGTAGAACGAATTTTAAACAACCGCCCAATCGTTCCTGCGACGCCAGATGAAAAGGATGATTTGGTGCTCACGCCAAACACTTTGTTATTACTAAGAGACAGTGATGGTGCGAATGAGAGGTGTAGTAAGAAGAGATGTGCGACAGCTCTGCCTTCTAGAGGGAGCCGAGTAATTGTGGATTGTAGCTTAGGTTTATGGATGTACAGGCGTACTGTTGTAAGTCCTGTGCCTCCCATTGATATAGAGCAGTTAGTAAGGAGAGCCATGACAGAAATGTATTCTAAGGTGTCTTTGCGTAGCTGGAGGGATTTTGGGGGCCGGTGTAACGGAAAAAGAACAGTGAAAATCCCTCTGCAGCTTCTTTGTTGAACAGTATTTTCATTTATTTGTTCCTTCTCTCTTTTGTGTATCCCAACCTTTGTTTCGACCTCGTTTAACCATGTCTTTTGTTCTTCAGTCTTCCCCGTTTGAGCCTTTATTATGTGATTTTGATTAAAGACTTATTTTTGTTACCTAATTTTCTATTGTATGTTGCCGGACCATTGACAGTAAGGTTGTGTTTGACTAAGCTCAAGGTCACGGCGTGGTTCATTTTGTGACTGTTAACCCTCTGACTGTCTGCTTGGGAGAATTGCTGCAATCCCTGCAGATAGATATTTGATCCCATCTTATTGGGAATATTTGTATTGATTCTCAGGTATCAAACCCTTTAGTATTAACTGTCTCTTTCATTGTTTAGCGCGCTACTTTGCGTTAGAGAAACTTCTGACTGTATAGCACAGGCTGTACCGTTTGAGGTATTTTGTATTTTTGATGTAATTTGTTCTGTTTTCTTAATTAGAACCGTTTATATTGAGCACAGAGTTTGTGTTTTGATGTAATATAATACGAGTATCTCAAAGACGCGTTGTGAGCTATACAGAGGAACTTGGTCTGGTCTAATCGAACAAATTTTGGGTTCGTCAGTCCGTTGTTCCAACCGAATATTGGCTGTTCGGTCGTTACAGTACTCAAAGTAGTTATAATAAACTGCTTTCAAAAACCGATACCCTTAGAGTATGCCTTTACTGAAATAAAGTTAATTAAAGTGAAAGCAGTACTCTCGATGAGTAATAAACGACCAAAACAAGAAAGTTAACTCGGTGAAGAAAAACAACACTGTCCACATTAAATATTGAGAGCGTGTAGAGTATAGTCCACAGTTTAAACTAGAGTTAAATGTTAATTAAAGAAACAAGACGAAGGACTAAACCCCGATAACCATAAAGTCCTTGATTACATTGCTAGCCAATGTATACTTACGTCAATTAACGGCCATAATTGCTAATGCTTGATGTTTTAATAAGTTTATTTCAGTGAACCATGTAAACGTCAATTAGATGGATGAAAGTATACAAGTATATACGGTCATAATATATATATTGTAGTGGTATATAAACCCCCAGTTCGAATCCTGACTTTTCCGTTGTTTGACCGCACTATTAGGAATCAATCGATTCCAAACCACCCCCTACCGCCCACAAACAAACGGGTTGGTAGAACTTTATCACCGGCAACTAAGAGCTTTACTATCAGATGCAAACGTTTCACAGTGGACCAACGCTCTTCCACTCGTCTTACTTGGTATTCTCAATGCAGTGAAAGCTGACATTGGATACACTGCAACTCAACTGGTTTGTGAAACGACACTTAGACTTCCAGGAGAATTCGTGGATTCTTCTTCGTCTTACAAACGCAATGCGTTCAGTTAAACCTGTTTCTACTCGATCGCAATCAACTGATGCTTTCGTCCAACCTGACTTACGGTATAGT